TTTTAGAGGCTCGGTTCCCCCTCCGATGAATACAAAGGTCGCTTTCTTAAAAAGTGGGATCGGAGACAAGTTGGCATCACTATGTAGCCATTATCTATCCATTGAAGCGGAACAAGGAGCGTTTCCAGTGAACTCTTCTTTCGACTGCGGAGGGAGTCGAAACCGACGCATCACGCGTGTGGGAAGAGTTTTTACCTTCTTAACTTGTAACCGTTCCATTTAGCGCTCCCTGGGCGGCACCATTTTGTTCGACAGCAGCGCCCTCTCTATACATCCGGGAAATTCAGCGCGTTCGGCGGGGTAAAACGAGAGAGAGGGCACGCGCCCGACTCCGCTAGCAGACGACAAAACGGGAGGTTGCCATTCTCCATCTTTGGGCTGTATCGGCGGGCTGTACGGAACATCGAACTCTCGCTCATGGCTGCCGTTGTGAAGTGGTTCGCGTTCTTAGAATAGTTATGGCTACTCCAAAATCAGCCCAGAGCTTTCTGTTGTTCTACATGAAGGGAGGGCGAGGGGAGACAGGTAAATGACCAACCGACATTTTTTTTTTCCGTTACTTAAATAGCAGTTGAGTCAGCCGGCAGTACTACCCTCAACTACTGCGTGTATTGCGGCAGGAGAGCACGTTTTTATTTATTATTTCAGACATACATTCATGGTGGCTAAAGGCCTACACCAGTACGAACTTTGTATAGTAAAAAAGGTACAGCCACCGGATTCACTTTTCGCCGGAGAGACCGGCCAGTCTGACACAGTTTTCCCTATTTTTTTTTTTATTTGCACGCAGATAACAGCGCAATTGGACTCTGTTAGTCTTTTTCATCTAGCATAGTAATACACTATAACTGGCATACCTAAATCTGCGCTTGAAATTCCCAAAATGACGCGATTTTAAACAGAGTTTGTACGCCAGCCGGATGCTAGGTACTGCCCACTCGGCGGAGCAGACGAGATGCGGGCGAGAGGGGGAGGTCATATTTTTCTCTTTTTACCCTCACTGCTATGACCCTAATGTAACGGTCTATAGTTGTGTGCAGAGCAGGCGAAGGCAACGCCAGGCGAAGAGGGAAAGAACGAGCACTGGGAAGGCGGGACGGGAGAGGGGGCAATGGAGGGCGAGGGGAGACTGGAAGAGCACTAGGAATGTTAAAGAGGAGAGGAGGTATCTCTCCTCCTCCCCATCTTTCCTAGTGCTTGCATTTCTCCCCTCGCCCGGCGTTGCCTTCGCCTGTACTGCGCGCAACTAGTGACAGACACGGAGTATATCCACTATTTTTTTCAATCAGCCAATAAGAGCTCGGCGTTCTGACATCATCGCAACCCCTGTGCAAGAAACAGACGAACTTGCGCAGCGCATAGGTTTCCGTACCGGCGTTCTTGATGGTGTGGAATGCATCTTGGAAAAGAACTGTGGAAGGACGCCGTCAGTACGTGCTCAGCAGCCGCGGACTCAGCTATGGCCGCCAAAAGCCACTTGATCTTGGGACAGTAAAGCTAAGGTCCCTGTATGGCCGTTATTTTGGTCTGGCTTTATAAAAATTCCATACCGGTATTTTTACAAAGCCATTAAATGTGAGCCGAGATTTTCTTTTTCATACACCGGCTAACCATGTGCACATCTTCGCGCCCTCCACATGTGGCATCGGTGATTGACAGCTTTGAAAATTGGCTGCAGAAACCACTATTGTTGGTTGTTTATTACAGCGAAGCTGTTTATGGCTAGGGTTCCGTGGATGTTTCGTGTGCGTCAACAAAAACTCTACGCTCGCTCGCACCTACGCTCGCACCGCCCTCTGTTTTTCGTCGTTCCGAGCGTTTGCGTACCTAGTTTCCTTTCCTTCCACCGGGTGGCGGTTCCGTCGCTCGTGTGTAGTTTCCTCCAGCTCCTCAGGGCGGCGATAGTCCTCGACATGTGTGTGCGCACCTTTCGTCACGATGACCACAGATCAAGATAATAAACGTGTTCGCACCTTTGTTTAAAATTCGCCGGTCACTCGTCATGAGACTACGGACGCAGCTTACTGTGAATACGACGATGCAAATTTTGAGTAAACACTTAATTTTTTTTACTTGCTTACGACGCAATTATTGACGTCAGCGCGACTGCAGCGCGCAACTTTGAAAGTGAGTGATTGCTTCGTCTCTGTGTAATCGTTTAACGTTCTGTCTGTGTAATCGTTTAATGTTCAAGTTGTTTCCCCACCGTCATTGCAGCCTTGTGCGTATGTCTTGTCCTGTCTCTGTGTAGTCGTTCAATGTTCAAGCTGTTTCACCATCTTCATTGACCACGTACCAACTGCTCAACTCAAACCGACCAATTGCTTCATAGCTTGGGTGCAAATGTGAATGTGTGCGTACTGCCGCCCCGTGCGGCGTGGGTTTATCTGCTTGCTGGGACGACGTCAAAGATGACGTCTAGGACGACATTTAGGACGACATCTAGGGCGATCTCAAGGACGACCTCTAGGACGGCTTCTGAGACGACCCGAAGGACGACGTCTGGGAAGAAGTCGAAGACGACATCCTAGATGACGACGTTGAAGGCGACTTCGCGAACGACCTGTAGCACGACCTTTAGGGAGATCTTAAGGAAGACCTCTGAGCCACCTTAAGAACGATGTCAAGGACGACGTCCTAAAGGACATAGTCCTCGACATCGTCTTAAACATTGTTCTGGAGGTCGTTTTAGAGGTCGTCCTTGAGAACGTCCTAGAGGACGTCTCGACGACATCCTCTAAGACGTCGTAAAGGCGATGTTTCGACGACGTCAAAGACGATGTTTAGGATTACCTCGAGGACGACCCCTAGGGCGATGTCGAGGACGACGTCCGCATACGCGCGGCGTATACGCGCGCAGCGGATACGCACGGTGCAGGCCAGATAGCGTATCGCGAAAACCGGGTGAAGTAGCTCATGAATGCTATCGCATTAAAATTAATTTCCTGTCTCGAAATACGCACAAAGAACAATGTAATTGTTTTACCTTAGCTACACTATAGTGCTTTTAACTTTCATTAAAGTGACACTGACAGCGTATTTATGCTCGCCATGGTTTTTATTTGTACATGACATATGAGAGCCAAACTACCCAGAACGCAATTTGCGGCTGGAAATTCGTTTTCTTTCTACCCGAAAACAGCCGATCGAGAACTGGCCGGTTTGAGTCGCGCTCACTCTCTTCTCCGTGGTCCCGTACCGTTTTCTATGTTTTAGACACAACCATCAAAGATAATCAAAGCAGTTGGTCATCGAAGGCACATACTCAATACTAAAACTAGACAAACAATATCATACCCATTTTTCGTGGCTTTTAAAAAGCTGCAAATACCTTGAACTAAAAGAAAAAAAAAAGGTTGCACAGCCACGTGATTTCCGGTAAATTTCTCCACCGCTATATTTCTTCTGCCTCCCCAGTCCGGTTTCGGTTTCGAACCGTTGCGTATTCTGACTTTAGTAAAATTGTATGTGATTCTGACACCAGAATAAATCACCATAATAAAAAAAAAAAAAAAACTTTTTTTTGGGGTGTGTGTTAGTGTTTCTTAAGCCAATGACAGTTGACTCAATAACTGAAGGGGGTTAGTCCCACAGTTCGCCTTTATGGAGTTAAAGATGGCGGCATCCGCCGCATCGCCGCCCACGGCCAGCACCAACGAAGCGCTTACCATTGCGCAAGCTTGGGGAAGTTATTTAAAAATTATCGTAGCAGCGAACGTTGTCGGAAAAGGTATGATTCGGGGCCAGAGCTGCCGCCAGAACGATCACGGCACGTGGCCGAAGCAAAAGTTCGACGAGGACGGCCATTGGGATGTCGGTGCCAATAACTCTTTCTTAATGTCTCTCTTGCTTAAATTTGTGTAAAACATTCTCAATATCGTTTCTTTGCCCTGAAAAAAAAATCAACAACTTTGTTTTGTTTTAATCGTTTATAATGAATGAAAAGTGTGCACATAATTCATTTGCATCACTTAAAAAAGAAAAAAAAAATGAAAGCCGTTTACAAATCCCTGTAACGCCGAACTGGAGCGCAGCTCTTGAGGAGGAGTAGGGAAGGGTACTGAGGGGGGTCACGTCACCTGCGTGTAGTCGCGTGACCCCGGGGGGTCACGTGATCTCGGGGGAGGGGGGTCACGTGACCCCCCCCGGTTACGCCGACGCCGACGCCGCTCAGGCTGGAAACGGGACCCTAAGAGCTGCGCTCTAAAAATACATTTGACACTAGTTTTGGTTTCATTTCGGTTGCAACTCTGTCCCCGTGGCATGTATCTCAACTGGGTAACACAGGTCAACTTAGTTGAGCTCAATAACAGTTGGGAGATGCAAACTATCGTTGCCTTCATGACAGTTGAGAGCGCTAGTGTAACTAGGGTATAAGAGGTGTGTGGAGATAAGTAAGATTGTGATTCCATATAGGGTACCGAAGACGCTTGTATTGGTGAGGGACGTTTTCAGGACATCGATGTTCCATCACGATCTTGGCACGACTGGTTTAGAACGACACTTTCCAAGCCTCGAATATTAAAAAGGAACGAAATGGCCATTGCCATGGCAACAGATACTGGTCAGCGAATCGCCTTTCGCGGTTTGGGTCGTCTGTATGTTAGTAGCAGAAGTTGGTTCTGGTTAGTAGTACCTGATTGTGTCCTGCTAGCAGGCATGGAAGGCAATGGCGCAACTTTCCCAGGACCTCGTGATTTCAGTCGTATACCTATACTCCTCGACAACTTTTCTCGGCAATGCAGTGCAAGGTACAGGAACGCGTTCCCTCTACCATTTTGAGAACTGAATAAAGCTGTGCGCGGACTCTCCTCTTCTCCCCGGAAATGCCAAGAAACGTTGTCGCGGAGTATAGTGAAATCTGAAGAGACGCAGCGGAGTATCGAGCATCTTATGATCCATCCAGAGCCGATGAGGTTGCCGCATGCAGACAGGAAGGCCGAATAACAAATCACGATAAATTTGTTCCATTAAAATAAAAAAAAAAAAAAAACACTCACTTGCTGGGAGCTTTTCGTCGCAAAGAGAACCAATGATCAATCGGGAGCCATCCTCGACGGTACGTGAATATGTTTGTTCCCGTTCGGAGCATTGGTCGATCTGCACGTTCCTTGTGCAGGTAGACACGGACTTGGCGGCTCTGTAAACATTATACAAAAAACACGAGACCGGCTCTGTAAGGAACTTACACGTCTCAAATTTGTCGTTGGCAATTCCTTTGTATGTTTTCCAAGGAGCATTACTTTTTAAGAAGATACAAAGCTTATTAATTGGAGCGTAATCATGGCGGCATAAATATAATTACCACATTTTGCAGTGTTGGGAGTGCTTTAACTACATTCTACTTAATTAAAGCAGCGTTGGACAAAATATTCGATAAACGTGCAACAATTTTTGTACTTTGCGCAAATACTTCTTAGAACGGATCCCTGACATTAATGACCTATGAAACACGCGTTCGTTTTTTACCCCACGCAATCGAAGTCCCAGAAAAAAATTAAAGAAAAACGAGCAGCGTTCACCCCTTCAAGTCGCAGCCAGAACAAGCGGCCACATGATCTGGAGCCGATTATATGCCGCCAGTGTTGATCATAGCCACGCGCTGGGGTTGGCAAAGCACAGGGCACGCGCTGAGTTCCAGATATTGTTATGGCTCGGCTATTGTCGTCGTTGCAGCGATTGGACACGGGCCACTACCCGAATGCTTCTCGAGCTAGTAGTTATCACGAGCCCAAATCGAGTGCCCACGCAATGCTCGGGTCCAATCTATGAACAGCATTCAAATATCGTCACTTGGGAATACTGCGATCCCCAGGTTACGTCATCAAATTTTGCAAAGGAGAGATTGAATGAAAATGATCGCTTTTGTCCTTGAAATTACACCGCAACAAAGGAGTTTCTTGGCCAGCGGAGTTGCGTGCGAGTATCCTTGACTCCCACTAGTGCCAGTAAGCTTGTGTATAATGAAAAACATTCCAACTGAATATCGTTGCACAGCTCCTTTAATTTAAGTTACTAAATACCTGCTTCATAAAGTATTTAAAATACTACTCAAGTTACTTTCCTTGTAAAAATCTTGATTAGAGTACAAATTAGGGCTGGGCAATTGATCGATTAACCTGCCGATTAATCGATTAAGGCTTTAATTGCGATTAATTTTTGTAATCGGTTAATCGGTAATTCAAAATAAAATAAAAAGTAAACGGTTTCACCACGCAGACGTGGACGATAACACCTGTATGAAGGGCAAACTCTATGTCAAAATATAGTCTAAAGTAAACTCTAGCGGCAAGATTTGTAACTCCTGAGAAGTGCAGAAGGTTACACGTGTAGTTCAGCGCAACAGAGACTATAGCTTGAACAATTAAAGGAGGCTGCTCTTGCCGGATGATATAAACGAACCTCTTTAACTCATGTCGCTGAAGTAATACTATGTGAGTGTAAGTGCCTTTGAACTGTTCTTAACCACACATCAAGGTTGATTCATAATAAAAATTGCATATTCCGTCCTTTATCTCATATTCAGAACATGCAAAAAGAAAAAAACACTTTTTTTCTTTTTGACTTTTTAAAATATTATGCATTAAAATTAACATGAGCGATTAATCGATTAATTAATCGATTAAAGGGTTGCGAGTAATCGGGTTAAAACTTTTAATCGACGCCCAGCCCTAGTACAAATACTTCGAAATGTAATTCAATTACTTTTGAAGATACTTCAGCATTGCGTAATTTGTACCGACGTCAGTGAAAACCACAATTGTACAGTTGCACAAATCTGGTTTACCAGAATGGTGTATTAACACGTAACAACACAAAACGAAAAAAAAACAACATCTTCGGGCTGTTTTATGCAGTCCAACTATAAGGAGCAGGATATTGTCACGAATGACAAATGATGAGGCGGCGAATAACTGGAGAAACTAAACGTTTAATGGGGCGAACTTGTTTCCAAAACAAAAGAGAGAGAGGCTAGCGTCGCAGGCGTCGATGTCCGCGAAACAGCAGGATCGAGCACTGGGACGAGACTGACTCTGGACCGCGACGAGGAGCACCTTGTGTACTCGCGTGGGTTTCTGGAACATTCGGCGAAGGACGTTTGGCGCGTAGAACACACGACAAGGTTCTCGAACTTATTAGAATGTCAAGTTGAAAGAATAAACAAAACAGGAGTCCGCTCCTGGAGCTAGCAACAGGATTTTATTACTCGAAAGAATGCTCCCGTTCGCTCGTGCCACGCCCACGCCACTTTATACCGAAAAACTTGGAAAATGGCGGAATGCCAAAAATATATTCAAGATAATGAGTACAGGATATTCAGAAATGTAATTAAAATTGACTTTCTGTGATCGAGCACGAACTGGAAAGTCTCAGTACGCTTCAGAAGAACGTCAGTGCATGTCGGGAGAGAATAACTGAACTTGAAACGACTGTTAAAATTATTACCAGAAATGTAGACGACTTAAGGCCTGTTCACACATGCAGCGGAGCGCTTCAAGCATAGCGCTAACCTCGCGCTAAGCGCGTGCTGACGGCAGCGTTCACCAGCTTTGTATCGCACCGTCAGAACTGTTGCTCATGGCAGACGATAAGTAGCTGACGGCACGTGAGGAGCGCTACATCAGCGCTTCGCTGCATGTGAGAACCGGCCTTTAGAAAATCAAAGTAGACGGTTGAATCTGATTGTCTACGGAATTAAATAACAAGAGAACGAAGACAGTCAGACACTCGAAAAAGTAGTCGTAGGTGAAATTCTCGAGAGAATTCTAAACGTACAAATAGCAGGCATCGAAAGAATTCACCGCCTCGGGAAACAGGCTGGTAACAAGATCCGACCAGTCATACTCAAACTACTGGACAGCAGAGATAATTCAAAGATTCTGAAAGACTGCGTCAAACTGAAAGGACCATATTTTTCAATCGGTGAAGATTTCTCCCGACACGTACAGCAAATACGTAAGAAGATTTGGGACCGCACTAAAGCAAACCGAGATAAGCGAGAAAAGGTTTTCTTAGTATATGATAAAGGTTCGCATAAATGGGCATCTCTATGCGTGGGATGAGATAAAACAAGACATAATTCCCGTGGAAAAAAAAAAAAACGATGTTCCCGACGAAAACTAACCGAAAGCCACATTCCACCATATAAGCTTATAGTCGTAAATATAAATGCAAGGAGTCTTCAAAATAAAGCATATGCATTGGAGTCCCTTCTCTTAGAATTTAATCCACACATAGTTACAATCACATAAACGTGGTTACATCCCTTAATACTTGATAGCGAAATTGTCCCACCAAATTATATCATTCTGAGAAAAGACAGAACGACTAGAGGCGGCGGAGTAGCAATACGTCTAAAACGAGGTATCCCCTACGAACATATGCCTGATGTGAAAGATGTTGAATCTTTATGGTGCAAAGTGTCATTCGATCATTATTCTGTTGTTGTACGTGTTATTTATCGGCCTCCAAACTCCGACCACAAGTGTCTGTACAACTTATATGATTACATGCAACAACACATTAAAAATCAAAGAATTATTATGGCTGGCGATTTTAATATACCTGAGGTAAACTGGGATTCGCTGCAACTTGGCACTGTTACCTCTGATGCAATATTAGACATGTTATTTGCGTTTAATCTGTCACAAATCGTAAGAGAGTCAACACGGGCGCGGGGAACGTACAGCAGTTTGCTTGACCTTGTATTTCTTAGTGACCACTTCCCCCAGAGGCAAATCGATGTTGAAGTAGTAACGGGCATATCCGACCATGAAGCAGTTATATGCACCATCCCTCTACGTACATCTAGGTTCTCATACGGCAGCATCAAAACTGTACTTAATTTCAACAGTGCCGATGACGTGTGTATTTAACCTACCTTGCCCATAGATTTTATGATTTCCGTGAATTTTGTGATGAGATAGATGTCAGTATTGACGACATATGGAACGAGTTTAAATCAATTGTCACGCACTGCGTTACACAGTTCGTCCCCCCCCCCAAAAAAAAAAAAAAAAAAAAAAAAAACACAAACAAGAAAGCACAACCCATGGATCACGCGAGAAATTATCCACCTTAAGCGCAAACTCAAGCGGCTAAGGAAATCATCTAAAATACACTTAATCCAGGATAACACTGACTACAAAGCGACGATTTCAGAGCACTCTAAACTTCTTAAATTAAAAGTTAAAGAAGCCAAACATAAGCACTATAAGGTGACCCTTCACGAGTTCATGAAAACGTCACCTCGGAAATTTTGGAACCACGTTAACCCAAAAAAGTTTCAAATGAATTGTATATGAGCTCCATAGAGAAACAAAAAATGGCAGATGAATTTAACAGTTACTTTAAGTCGGTATTTACAGCTGATGATGGTAATGACGGTTTAACTCTACCACAACGCAACACTACTGAAGAACTTGGAAGCCTAATAGTTATGGAACCAGGCATAGTTGCACTTTTACTCAATTTAGACACCAAAAAAGGTAACGGTCCTGACGAAATTCCGAATATGTTTCTTGAAAGATACGCCGAATGGGTTAGCAAGTATTTAGTGCTAATTTTTAACAAGTCTCTCTTCCTTTCTTCGGTACCCGCCGAACGGAAAGTTTGCGAAAGTAATCCCTATACATAAATCTGGCGATAAGACTCTAGCTTCAAATTTTAGGCCCATATCACTTGCTTGCACCTGCTGCAAGCTTCTCGAGCCTATTATTCTCAAAGTCATGACATAATTTGTAGAAAATAACAATATCTTATTCCTACATCAGCATGGTTTTAGAAGTGGACTATCGACATTTACACAGCTAATAGGTGAGCGGCGTTTTGCAACTTCCGGTTCCTTAGGAAATTTTGTTCCACTGCTGACAAACCACGACAGTGATCTGCATGCCCGTGCAAGCATAATTCTGAAACCTTCAGACTGTAGTTTTCGGAACCATGTTTAGACAGGCTTGCAGATCATCGTCGTTGTTTGTGAACAGCTAAACAAATTTTCTTAAAGAACCGGAAGTCGCCAAACGCCGCTCACCTATTGAGATTCTTCACGATTTCACGATGGGCATAAACAACGGAAGTCAGGTAGGTGCAGTGTTCTTGGATATGTCGAAAGCGTTTGATCGCGTTTCCCATGACAAACTGATAATAAAACTTAAACATGTTATGGGCGAAGGACCGATAATTGCATGGATTAAAGACTACTTAAGAAATCGCTTCCGATTTGTTTATTACGAAGGACAAAGTACGTGACCAGTTGCTGTAGTATCCGGCGTCCCCCAAGGTTCCGTTTTAGCTCTATTTTTACTTCTTCTTTTCATAAATGGCATAGCAGATGGCATTGATGTTAACATAAGATTATTCACTGACGATTGTATCATATACCAATAAATTAAGAACCAAGATGATCACATCCTACTAAACAAATCTCTTGAAAAGATTTCCGACTGGTGCGATGACTGTCAAATGGTGCTTAACAAAGAAAAAACAGTCTCCATGAGTTTGACGAGAAAGAAAAAGAATGTCTCCCAGTTTCAATATAGCCTTAAAGGGATACGGAATCGAAACTTGAAATATAGAGAAAACATCAAGAAATGAGTTCAATATGATCAGCTAAGCCTGTAATGAATAATCGCACGGTCGTATTTTGAGCAGATGGCTATATTTTATGCCCTAAATGCCGCGATTTTGGCGAGCGCTTCAAAATCAGCCATGGAGGAGCGCGATGCATCTCGGGAGATCCGGCAGACGTCTTGACGTCATCATGCCTCGGACGACCAAGCGTACCGTAGTGACGAGTTTTGCCACTTGGAGGCGTCAACGCGTTACAATCTCGCTTTGTCGAAGTACCCAAGGGCTGTAGATATCGCGGGGCCAGCACGCGCACCAAACCTGAGAACAACCGAAGCACGCGTTTGCACGTCGCGCGAGAGCTGAAACCAAGGTGGCTCACTTCGTTTTGGCTCTTTCCACCAAGACGCCTCGGTATTGCGTTCAGGCCTAGGCAATCTATACCAGTGAGCGGACATACCGCTGCGGCGCTGCTTTCAGAGGCATGTTGTCGTCACGACATTCCATTGAAGCTTCATAACCAACTACCAGGTGGTTTTTGATTATCGTTTAATTCACCTTAAAATATGTTTTCTTGCGTTTTCTAGCGCAATATTTATGTTTCTGTGGTTGTGCTGCTACCTGCGTCGTGTTGAAACAAAGAAATGAGCTCCAGAATTTGGTTTCCGTACCCCTTTAAAGATGAACCTTTGAATAGAGTACCGAGTATAAGTACCTAGGGGTTTTGATAACATCTGATCTTGACTGGAACGCACACGTTAAATATATATTTAATAAAGCCTTCATGAAATTATTCTTTCTGATGAGAACCTTAAAATGTTCGTCCTGTAAAGCAAAACTCCTTGCTTTACAGGGAGCTTGTGGGCGGCATAAGTTGCACTTATGCCGCCCACAAGCGGCATAAGTGCAACTTTCACGACTTTTTTAATACAAATATGTTAAGCTAAAAAAAACAAAAAAAAACTGCATATATATTTATATGTGTATATACCGACAACGGCTGTGAGGCCGTCCGAGTCCCCGAACCCGTTGTTAAATATATATATCCTACAGTCACTGACAGAATTGGAACGTCAGGTTTAGTTGTCCCGCCTCCAGCTCTAGCTTCCCGCCCTTTCCGGCGTCTCCTCGAGCGTCCACACGCTGCCAAAGCACCACGGAAGGCATCGAGTTCGTGCTGGAGGCAAAGCACTTTGAAGACACACCCTTCCTTTCTCCTCCAGTCAGTGGTTTTAAAAGACCATGATCTGGTGTTGTCACATGAACGACATTGAGACGAGGTAACACTTTGTGCAAGCTGAAATTCAGCTGAGGAGGACTCCGGCTCAACGTCTATATGTACTGACAGAGCCTGGCAGATCGCCACGAGACATGGCCGCCGAAAGTGAAAAAATAGAGCGGCAGACAAGAGTCATGTAGCGGGCGTCCCGCTGCGGCGAGACGCCGAAACGCGCTTGTCCCGAGCGATGGAATGTCCGCTCGTGCTTCTCGCGTTCCTCGGGCTACCGCTTTTTTTCTCGTCGGGTTTGAAAACCATGTTTCGGGTCCTCGCCGCTGCAAAAGCTGTGCGCTGAATACCAGACTCCCCGAGAAATGCTCTGTGCTACCAGATCCTCGCGCTCCAAATCTGCGACCGGGCACTCTATGGCTCCGTCATCGAACTGCCAGGCTTTGTGAGTAGAGAGGAGGCTATGGTTGTACAAGGGAGAAAGTGCACTTACTTGCAATATTTCGCGAGCGTACCTTCACCGCTTGGGAGAAGCGGCAATTGTTGATCTCTTTCGTGGACGACCTTCCAGTGGCAGTCGTGGAACAGTCTACCCTCGCAAGCGTACTCTGTAAAAAATAACTGTGTAAGAAAACAAAAAAAAATCTTAGAAACTCTCTTGTCACAAATTTTCTGGTTTCGTCTGTTTCCCTGGTTCCGTAATTTTTGTTAAAAATATCCTTTCCGGTTCTTTTCTTTTCTGTAAAATGACTGAATTTCTGTTACCCAGCCTTGTAGGAAAGTAGCTTCTGTTTTTAAAAATAACAAAATTTTGCAAGAAAAAAAAAAACGGGTTGCTGTTCTAGAAGGCTGTGAGAAAAAACAACAACAACAATTTCTATTCTTGGAAATACGTTTTTTTTTTAAAAAGCGGGTTTCTGTTCTGTAAGTTTCTAAAAAAATAAAGTGTTTTTTCCAGGTTACAAGAAAAGCCAGGTAAATACAAGGGTCGCTGGTATTTCCCTCGCCATTCAAGCTTTAAATACACAGAAAAGCGGGAAAATACGATATAATGAACCTACAGATACAAACAGAACACACATACCGTATAACAGTAACACAAGAGCCAGACAGATTGCGCAACATCCTCTACAGATACCACGTTAAGCCGATCGCTATATATGACAGCCTTATTTTGGAATTCGACCAGGCCCGTGACTGCGACATGTGTCGCATAAACACGTAGAGGCTGACCAAATGTTGCTTCTACTTGATATTTGTTTTCCCCGTTTTCACAGTGAATAGCTTATGTCCCTTAATCCAGCGTCTTCAGAAAAGCCACACTCCCGCTGACTTCCGCGACATCCGTCCGGCCTGAACCGACGCGGGCTTGGAAAAACCTGCTTCTCTTTGTCCCCATGGCTCCCTAGCAAGCAATTTTCCGCGCCCGTCAACGTCAGCGACGTTGACGGGTGCGGAAGCGTACATGACCCTTCTTTATTTTTACGGAACGCTTCAGAAAGTGGAGCCAGGTTCTATACCAATGGTGGCCAAACCGCGGCTTGCGAGCCGCATGCGGCTCTTTGCTGGTCCAAGTGCGGCTCGCGGATCCCTCGAAAGGGGACCCCCCCCCCCCCCCCCCCCCCCCCTCCCCTCTTTCGCCCCTTTCCGCGTTTCCCCAGGAAAAAAAAAGAGAGAGGATTTCAAAATAAAGCACGCCTTGTGCCCCCATACGTACAGTCAGACTCTGAACAAATGTTACGTTTGCCCGTCCCCCCCCCCCCCCCCCCCCCCCCCCCCCCCCGCGGCGATTGCGGCTCTTAGGCCAGGCCAGCCTCTTGCGTCGCACTGCGAAGCGCTGCGCGACGGGGCCATTCCTACCGCAAGGGCGCCGTTCCGCTCTCAAACGCCTTCAAACGCAAAGGTGGGTACAGGCCCAAAGACAATGCGGCAAATCACGCGCTGCGATGCCTGGCTTACCGGTAGGCCTGAGACATTTCTTCGCGTCCATGAGAGTGTTGATGTAGTTTTCCACGGCTTTCCTGGCCCTTTCCGCTTTGGTGGGGCAACCTGCACCCGCCTCCAGTGCGCACTGGTAGCTCAGCGACTCGTTTCTGCGGGAAAGAGAACACTTATGTTGCGAAAGCCTTTTGATAAAGATTGGGTCGGTTGGTGTAGTATACATGGTTCGTACCGTTAACTCTTATACGGCGCGTATCAGAGCTACAAAATTTCACTTTATCCCCAGTGTCTTTCAAAATTCTACGGTAGATGAGACTTGTTGGTTCCCAACCCCGTTGATTGCAGCGAACGACTCTCCCAAGCGGTTTGCGGGAGAGCTGACGCTCTAAATTTATTGGAGTGTGTATACAGTCCCTGACAGGCAACAGGGCGTGGCTTGAAATGTTCCCGCCTCTTGCTTTGTGATTGGCCCTTCGACGTTCCTATCCGCCAATGCCTTGATCTCATTGGCTGCGCAGCGGTAATGAGATGCACGCCGCGCCCAGCGTTCCTTAAGCTGTCGGTGATGATGAGGGGGTTATTCACTGGCGCTACTATCTGAGTGTGTGGTTGCTGAGCGCGGTGCTGCCGTGGAGTTGCCCCGGTACTTTTGCAACGTGCATCCCACATCGTTACGACTGTCGGGTCGTGGCAGCCTGTAAGTGGCAGGACGAATGCGCACTAAACAGCGCATTTAAATTTGGTGTCCAGTGAATGTTCCCCGTACGGCGAGCAAGTTTGTCCGCTCCTTGAGCACCTCGTGCGCTCGTTTACCCCCAAAAGCGCCCAGGCGCTTTTGAATAATCATTGAATAATTAACGACTCGCTCCTGGTTACCTCGTCGCCGCGCGGTACGTGTGCGTTTTCATTTTTTTCCCGTTAATTTCCATGTTCCTTCTTGCGTTTCGACGCACCATAAACTTGCTCGCCGTGAAAGCATTTTATATGCGTGGCGAAAAATAAACTCGCCAAAAAAACAAAAAAAAACATGTCTGCTCAGACATATATTTAAGGTGGGTACCTGCACCATTTATATCTGTCCATAGCGCCGTCTTGTTCGAGCTTGTCCAGTCGCTCCTCGACGTTCTTCTTGCATTCCGCGAAGACACTCGGATTGAAACAGTCTCTCCAGAGGTTCAGGTCTACGAGTCACACGCACAAACAGGCAGGAAAAAGAATTATTTAAAAAAAATGTGACGCTTGCACATACCTGTAATGTGATATTAGAGCGCAGCTCTTGGGGTATTTTGATTTTGCTATATACAGTGCTAAACAAGATGTTTCGTCTTCTCCGTCTTTTTGTTTATTCTTTCTGATAATTTAATTTGGGACATATATATATATATATAACTCTTCTCGCATAATTGTTCTGCACCCCCGTCCTCTTCCGTGTCCTCTTCCTCCTTCGTTAAATCTTTCTCCGTATCCTCCCCTCCTCCTCCTCCATACCCTTCCTTTTTCACACAGCTTCCCCGCTAAATTTAGCTGAAAAACGGAGACCACGTGACGCCAACACAATTCGATTTCCCCGTTAAGTTTAGTGACGTCACACGACTTCGTGTCGCGTCGCCTTTGAACGAATTCTATTTTTCCGCTAGATTTGGCGGCAAAATTGACGTTACCTGACCTCAACACCAATTCGATTCCCCTCAAAATTTAGCAGGAAAACTGAATTGGTGTGTACGTCTGGGACGTCCCATAATGCAACACTGCTCAATCAGTTTCCCCGCTAAATTTAGCAGCGAAACCTTGACGCCCATAATGCAACGCGCGCGGTTACGCCAACGCCGACGGCGCTCAACCGTGAACATTGCCTGAGAACAAGTGTTTCGGTTACGCATAAGGCAGTGTTACCGCTTATAATGATACTTAAAGGGACCCTGCAATGACTTTTTTACTGGGTTTTAGTAAATTGATGAAACTTTTCCTTTCTCGAATCTCGCTTTATTCTAAAAGTTATAGGCAAATTAAAAGCAAAAAATAACATCCTGCATGACATCTTTTGTTGCTTGAATGGCCGTGAACTAGAGGAGGGGTAGTGAGCTCAGCGAGCGGTCATGGTTGCCGCACTCCGTGTCGACGGCTCAAGAGGGCGCCACTAAGGCATGCATGTTCTGGATAGGCTATATGAAGCGGGCAGCCAGGGCAACTCGCATTGCATTTGCTGCGCGATTAAAACAATTTGGCATGACACTTCATTGGCCACAAACGACAGCAAACACGGGGTAAAGATCAGTTCAGAACGGGAGCCACTTCGCGCTGCCATACCACCAAAAGCCCAGACCGCAAGACAAAGCTGCTCGCCGAAGGCCTTGGGAACGCTCGGAGCCGGTCGGACCTCTAGTCCGTACGACCGCTGCGCCGCCGCGTACATCCGGGACCTTTCTACGCTCGCCGCTCATTGGCGCCTGATCCCACTACACCTTTCTAGTATGCGCCGCCTTTTTCACCTCTTGGTGGCGGGTATGTCGACGGGTCATTTCTTGCTTCCGTACTTTATAAACTGCATTTGTTTCTTTTCTGATCTAAAAAAAAGTGAACAAAAACTACTTTTATAAATAATTGAAACGGTTCGGCGCCACTTATATTTTGTATTTCGACAAAAAAGAAGCTTTTAGCGGCTCTGACCAGTAGCAAGTCCAGGACCTAAGACGTCAAGTATCGCGCGCTTTCGGCACCGCGGGTCGCCCCCGTTGGTGGAGGAGGTTTCCGCGTCGTCCGGTTAAAATATAACCCACTGATATTTAGTTACTCTCTCCGTGCCCGCTGGCTTGCCCGAATACCGAGAGACGTGAAAACTGCAAAAAAAAAAAAAAAAAAAAAAAAAGTAGACGCCTAAATACGATTGTTGGGCCCCTTTAAAGGGGTCTGGACACGAAAATGAAACGGGTATATTATTTTTTTTAATTAAATGCCCCTAGGCTACTTCGTATATACACCAAGTTTTGTAATTTTAAGAAATTTAGTAATTGCAATAATCAATTTACGAACTTTTATCATTCTCATCTGGCGACCAGGAAACACTGCCCAAGTTGGTTTATGGACACCAAGGTGTCCATAAACCAAGTGGCATTAATTGAACGCTCTCTTATTCTAGGCGCCCCCAAGATCGCCTGGCCATGGTACGATCAAAAGCGCTCACGCAACCCGGCTACTCCAACGCTACTCTCGCTCTCGCTCCAGGCCCTTTGACCTTCCACCATGCGTGTATACGTGCGGGATCGTGGCGCACAACGACGGCAAACACGGCGAATTCGTGCGTGACGATCTTGTCATCGCTGGAGCTGGTCGACAGAGGGTCGCAGTCAAGATGACCAGCTTCCAACACCTCTTGATAACAACCACTCTCATCGCTGCTGCGAGCTGTCTCCAAGACTCCGCCGACAAAAGAGGAGCGATGCCGTAGACGTAATCGTCGCAAACTGCATGCTCGAAACGCGGAAAGTAGCAAAGGGAGCTGAAGCACGGGACGCGGAGAGAAAGGCGAGACTGTGAGTGCGTGCGAGCGGACACCGCGTGTTGGGTTAATGACGGCACCGACATAACAAACATGTAGACCCTCCCGAATGACGTGTTTATTTATTTATTTACAATACTGAAAGCCCTTTCCGACTGTCTCAAGAGTGTACAGCAATAGAAAAAAACAAAAAAAAACAAACAATTTGACAATATTTGTGATGATTTTCAAAGCACTTGAAGTCATCACCACCAGAGAGTACTAGCACGTCTCAGCAAATATATCAAATAATACACTTTCAAACTGCTCGTCATTGTCAATCCCCAGAAAAAGGTCGCCATCCAATTTATTCCACTGTTAAATGGTTTTTAGGACCATTTAGGTTTTAGGGGTTTTAGGGTACGAGGAAAGGGTACTTAAACGCATCAAGATTTGGACATACGACTTGACTCCGAACTGGTTATTAACTCTTGGCGACCTTTTTCCAGGAAGCCTTATATAGTTACTCAAACTCATGTTATAATACCGCTTGAAGAGTTGATAGAAAGACTTTAATCTTAAAATTGTTTTCCCCCTAACCCAAAGTTGGCAGCCCTGCATTTTTTAATAGTTCTGTTACCAATTTCGTGCGGTGGTACTCTGAACAAACGAATCTTCTTCACACCGCTGGATACGCTCAAGTTGATCTATATGATACTGGACATATGGATCCCAGATGACGTATGCGTATTCAAGGAACGATGAAACCAGAGTCTTATACGCACATGATTTAACTGCAGTTGTTATATTTTCGAGTGCACGTCCTAAAAGATCAAAGTTTTTGCGAAGTTTTTGCTGGACTCTCGGATGCACAGACGTGTATCCGAGCATCTAACACATAATTCAATTTATCCACAAAACTATTGCGCCCTTTTTAAGATAAATTTAGCATAGATATAGGCACATACACTGGGTCCTAGCAGAATAGTTTTCTCATATTTTATCTCTGAAGTGTCGTAACCCTTTAAGAAAGAACAAAGATTTTTCTTACCTTCTTTTAGTTTGCTGCCGCACAAAGAGTCCTTGGTTAACTGCAAGGCTGTTATCTTTTCTTTCAGAAATTCGCTTTTGGCAATGGAACATCCTTCGAGAAACGTTTCCACTCGCTGGGTGACGTTTTTCAGTTTGCTGCGAAAGCAAAAGGGCGATGGTCTTTAAGCGAGACTCGCTTAATTCGCGTAGAACTGATGTTCAGATACGGTGAACTACTTCGACTGAGATATACTGACGACCCCTTAAAGGGGCACTTAGGTGGATTCTCAAATTGTCCATTTATGGTGATAACTCTATCTACGAACTCAATGAACATCCTAAAAGTCCGAAATTATACTGATAAGCTGTCGGTTTACCCATGAAGAATCTAATCAAAGATCTTGACACGACCCTCTTTCCGCGTCTTGAAGCGGATACCAGCTAGGGTATTGCTGTATTAAGATTCACCCAACGATTCTACGTTTTTGTCAAAAACGTAACTTTCGGAATCTCCATGCAATCAATTATCTTAATTGGTTAAAATTTTATGGAAATGGTAAAGACCCGATGATACCCCCACCCCCTCCCCCCAAGTGAAAATAGTACCCGCGTATATTTATTTCAGTGAGTTTTCTAATTCGTCTAACGAAATAATAACACACGCACATAAGCGCCAACTACGGGGGGGCAGTGGGGCTCGTGCCCCCCCCGGACGGCTTCACGGGGGGGCAGAGCACCCCCCGGCCCCGGCCCGGGATTTTTTTTAAAGAGCTTGGCTTGGGTCTGCGCCCATCGACAGTGGACTGATGGCCGTCCTGACTGGCAGCTATTTCACAGGGGCCTGTTTATTCCCGCTTCTTATTTCCTTTCAGGCTTTTAAATGGTGGATCTCAAACAGTGACAGGTCAGACATTCAGTGGAAAATTCCCCTCAGGCGGAGTTAGATGCGCGGAATATGTTGTCTGAATGAACAGCTGAAGTGCCCGCTTCAGCTATGACAGGCTAAAAAAAGTCTTGAAAGCGTCGCGACATCTCTGTCGGTTTTTAGAAAACAAAAATGTTTCTGAGAATAGGAAGCATCCCCGACACAGTGAGTCAGTGACTGATTCTGCAGACCTGCTCGCCAAGAAAAAAATTTTAATATCTTGCGCGTCTACAAATGAATGCCCTTTCGGCCAAGAAAATATTGTACACATTTTTGATTGGTCAGTGAAGGGCTTTACTACCAGTCTTGTCACCGAACAGCGACTCGAATACTCGTCCAGAAAACAACTTTTTGCGGAAAAATTTGTAACCCCAGCTTCGCACAAGGTATAGTGGTATCAAATGGTCTTTGCTACCGTCTGAGAATTATTTTTGGCCCTCTTAAAATTGAAGTCAGTCGTATAATTAAAGCTTCTTGTGCCACCATTACCCCACTCTCCCCTGCTGCATGTGTTAACAAAATAAACAAAACATGACAATAAAATACACACCAGAAGCCAAATAACAGCATCGCAAAACACAACAAAAACAAAGGGACACTGCTTTGAAACAAAAGCCTGTGGGGAAGAGAGCGATTGGGCCTTCGGAGTCTCTACGAAGGCCAACTTTGGGGAAAGAATAATCATCATGCCCGATACGTGTTCCTTTTGTCATTTTTAAAACGTTTGTATGGACAGTGCGGCGCTAGGCGGCACAATCCGCTCCCCTTTTCCGTTTTATTCTGAATAGGCTTCACGAACATTCCCAGGGAAGGCATTCATACATATACGCCGCAAACAGTCAGTAGAATAGCAAGTGCTTGATCACTTCCTTTGAGGCAAGGTCACCGGAGCTTATTACCTGTGGAAACTATTTTATATTAACTCCCTGGGTTGAGGCTTATTTGACAAAGAGACGGAAGCAACTGAAGGATCGTGATTGGAGTCCCCGAATAACGAGCGGGGCCAAGCGAAGTTCAATTGAAACTTAAACTGTGAGCCGACACGAACACCGCAAATGGAAACCTAAACTCAGAACCCATTGACATTCTTGAAACGTAAGCCGTTCTCATAGGAAGTCGACTCGCCCAGTTCCGACTCGGCTAAGAACGTGACAGTTCGTCCGGTATCCTGTGTAAAACTACCCCTGCAGAAAAAAAAAAAGATTCGCTTTTTTGTACTGGTAGTTTAGTCTTGCAATATGTTTGCATAAATGTGGCCAGTAAAACACGTATTCAGAGAAATTTCTACTGGATGCGTCAAACCGCTGAAGTTTCCGGGTCATTCTTTTGCGGAGCGTCTTATTTGGGGACACCAGGGGCCCGTTTGCTCGAAACACTAACCGCGGCTAAAGTTAGCCACAGTACCTAGGAGAGGGATTTTGAGATCACGTGACTGGGCTCGGTAGGGATGCGGGGAAACATGGCGGTGCCCCAGTGAGTGAGCGCCGCTCGCTTCGGAACTAATATGTCGTTGTGGTTGCAATACCGGGCGCGTTAGCCAGCAACAAATGGTGCAGGACGCTTTCGCTTTGCACTACCTCACTTAAACCGCAAAGCATGGGCAATGACATCGCCGCATTTTTTAGATAGTGTTTCCATTCTGGGCACTCCTAAGCCTAAATGAACGCGATAATTGTCGGCATAGAAACGTCTTTGAAATGCGGATTGTTGATAGCACACAAAAGCAGACGGCGTCCCAACAGACCTTTTTTCTTAATTATCCAAGCACCGAGGTGCATGCTACGACTGTAGTTGCACGCGTCGCACGTGCTGGCGTCTGCAGTCATAACCGTTCTAAAGCAAAAAGTATAAAACAAAATTTGCCTTGCACGCGCGTTCGTTAAAGCCTTATTATGATTTTTTTGCTTCAAACAAATCTTTTATAAGAGCAAGGCTAGCGCGCGTGAACCGTAGAATTACACTTGCAGCGTTCTCCTCGCGATGCTTGGATAATTCAGAAAAAAGTCTGTCGGGACGCCGTCTGCTTTTTGTGCTATCAACAACCCGCTTTCCAAAGACGTTGCCATGCCGACAATTATCGCGTTCATTTAGGCTTAGGAATGCCCAGAATCTAAACACTATCTAAAAATTGCCGCGATGTCATTGCCTATGCTTTGCGGTTTAAGTGAGGTAAGGCAAAGCGAAAGCCTTCTGCATTATTTGTTGCTGACTAACGGGCCTGATATTGCAACCACAACGACATATTAGTTCCAAAGCCAGCGGCGCTCACTCATGACCGCCATGTTTCCCCGCATCCCTACCGAGCCAGTCACGTGATCTCAAATTCCCTCTCCTAGGTACTGCGGCTAACATTAGCCGCGGTTAGCGCTTCGAGCAAACGGGCCCAGGTAGTTAGCTGTCACAATGTCCGTGTCCGTTTGTTTATGTCCTTGTCCCTTTTTCTCCAGTCTGGGTTTACCAAAATGCTCGGTAAAGGCTCCGACTGCTGCAGGTGACCCTTATGGGGAGAACCCACGGAACAAATAAAACAAGGACCTTCTCCTCCTCTCTCCCCCCCCCCCCCCCCGCAGCCTCCCCCCCCCCTTCCTTTTTTTTTTGAGCCACATTCCGGGTCTGCCCCCCCCGGGAAAATGGAAACTCTACGCCGCTGCACACGCATTAAAACTGGGTACTTACTCGCAATCTGTTTTCAGTGTGGAAGGGGTGTTCACTTCTCCTGTCACCTTGAAGTTTAGATTGTAGACGAAAGGCGAGTAAAGTTTGTGGTATTCTTCATTGCCGCAGTTCGGTTGATCGGAAGCGCCTGTAATAGTGGAGAGTGATGAACGATATGTTAAAGTAGCTTTTCAGAGACCGAAAGGCTCGCAGTATTGTAAATAAATATATTTATTTACAATACTGCGAACCTTTCGATCAACGCAGGGGGGAATAAGCATTTGTGCAAGGAACTAAACAAAAACATGTTCAGACACTCTTACACATCGTATGACTTCTATACAGGCGTGGTGGCCCCCCCCCCCCCCCCCCCCCCCCTCCCAACTGCAAAATATGCTACAACGCATTCTACAAACATACACATAGTAACCAGGCTACCAATTGTTTAGTATTAACTCGAACAACTTCCCATCGATTTAGCTCACGGCTCCTTTTACATAAAGCGTTTCATTCTATTATTAACCCGCAAAAAGAAGAGCACTAAACCATTCCGAAATCCAGTCTGCCCCCTTTGATAACTATCATCATCCTCTGAAAAATGGGATATGTGCCGTATTAATGGCGGCCTTCTGTTTACTGATGAAAGAACATGTTGAAGATGATCCTAAGCAGATGATTCGAGGCCTATACATTCAAGACGTTAACACGATGCGAAGCAGGAATTGAATGCAAGAGCAGTGTAAGCGTTCATTTCTCTAACTCGGGCCCAGTCAATCTGTTAGTACACCACAGAATCGACTTCAAAACCCCTTGATGTATAGAAAAGGGGTGGCCAAGCTGCGGCTCTTCGCGTGCTAAAGTGCGGCTCGCGGCTCCCTCCCCTACCCGCCCCGCCCCCGCCCCCCCCCCCCCCCCCCCGCCCTGCTCCCTCGCCTCCCTCCCGATCGCACGAGCACTTCCCCAAAAGGAGAAATCAAACGCGGTTGAAATCGAAAGACAGGTTGTGGTTAGGTAGCCTTTTCTACTGCTAGCTTACGTACAGTTTGACTGTTTTTGACTCAGGTAGATTGAAAGTTGTTCGAGTTTTGCTTTATTGCTACCCCCCCCCCCCCCCCCCCCCCCCCCACACACACACTTCCCGGGCGGCTGCTGTAAGTTTCATGGTCTTGTTTGCGGCTCTTCGGCCGGGTCAGCTTGGCCACCCCTGTTATAGAACATTATCAAGGCGTCTATCTGGGTTGGCGTTTCGTTCTGACTGGTTGCATATTTGTGGTCATCGACTCTGATAGAGGTGAGCGAGAAAGAACTGTACAGTAAAGAGCACATTCTCGTTTTCCGTTGACTTGCGAAAGTGACGGTGCCCGATAAAATACCGCAGGCTACAGGTTCATTGCCGCCATTAGTACGGCAAAAGTTAAACCGCCTTTCTGCCACCAGATGGCACTGAATTTCGGAAATTGTCTATGAAGGCACCGTTGTGTTAAGGGCCACTGAAAAGAAAAAAAAAAGTTTTTGCTAGACGGTTTGTTTGGGACACGCATGTCGAGGAATGAATTTTGCGCGAACAAAGAAATGTTTTAGAGCGGCATTGACGGCGCGAGATTTATTTTAACTTCTGCGCGCAAAGTCTATGACGTCACGAAATGTTCATATACTCTTTCCACCTCAACGACATGGTTTTATACACTCTCTCCACCTCAACGTGATAGCCAAGCGGATCCTCCTCTCCTCCACGCTCCCGAAATGCCGAGAGAGAAAACATGTGGAAAGGAGGTGACTACCGACTAAACGGCGTCTCGCGCCGTCAATATTGCTCTAGACTTTTTTTTTCTTTTCGTGTAAAATTTAATTTTTGACACACGGGTCCCAACCAGACTGTTTCAAGGAAAGCATTTTTGTTTTCTCTTTTTAAAGGCTTTTTATACAATATCAGAAAATTGGTCTCTAAAAAAAAGTTCGTATTTTCTACTATGACTCGCCCCATTTCCACTCTGTAGTGGATAGTCTCTTAACTATTTTTAGAGATGCCCTTCATGCCTCAAACTTACACATGAGGTGCCAGTAGATTCTATCCTTCGTTTCCTCGATATCAAGTTTACTCTCTCCGAGAATAATATATGTGGGATATATCAGCCTAGAAGTAACAAGCCTCTGCTGCCCTTTTAACTCGTCCCACTCAAAACTGATTAAGAGAGGGATAGCTGATTTGTGTTTCAAAAACGCCCTTCGTAAGTCATGTCACCATGTGACAGATTTGAGTGTCCTGGAGCAGTCTGAGCGTCTGTTGTCGGCCGGTTAAGGAGGATCAGTGGCCGAGTGGGCGCACACCAGCTCGGAGCATGTGGAGCGAAAGCTCGCGCTGCGCAACCCAGCATCCTAGGTTCAATCCCCACCCCTGCCCGTTTCGATCTGAGCATCATACCGGCGTGCGGGCGCGTATAACTACTGCGTAGTACACGTTAAAAACCCCAGGCTAGCGGTTGTTTTGCACTGGCTAAATTGCTCACCTACAGCCAGTGACTCGTCGCAACTTTGAAATGGCTGACCAAGTGCACGCTGTATAAATGTCCACACAACCCCAATTACTATGTCGGCTGGTTACCCGGCGGCTGTACTGGTTTCGGTAGCGGAGGTGATCCTTAAAAGGTTTCGAGCATAGGTTATCTCCTGTCCAGAAAAGGCCAGAAGAAAACAAATGATTTCAGTCGTGCCTCATATGCACAAGACAGCGCATAACCCAAAGGAAATAGCAAGCTGCTTAAATACTAAGGTTGTCTTTTCTGCGCCGGAAAAGCTCTCCAGGTTGAGTCATTTGACGAACCCTTTTCGCAAAGCCTCGCTGGGCTGTGTGAAAAAGCACAGAAGTCCGTTTGTCGCTTGTGCTGAGGGTGTTCTTTATCAGATTCCGTTAACACGCGGAAAGAAATACGTACACTCTAAGAAATGCCTGCGCGTCTACTGACCCGTAAAACACTTGAAGAGCCGATCTTTGCGATATACGAAATCAGTTGAGCGAATGACGAAACGAAACATTCGTTTATACCTAAAAAAGAAGTCTGCGCTGTGGCATTACGCAATGCAAAGCGTCATGCTCGCATTGCCTAATGCCACAGCGCAGTCTTAATTTTTAGGTCTAAACGGATATTCCGCCTCATCATTCGCTCAGCTGATTTCGAAGATCGCAGATGTTGGCTTTCCGAGTGTTTTGCGGGTAAGTAAGTATACGCCCAGACATTTTTTAGAGTGTAGGACAAATGGGCAGATGTCTGAACGATAAGCTCCGAGAACATAATCTTAACGTCAAGAACTATCAGGAGGGGCCAGGGGGCACCTATCAGTGCATTGTCAGAACTGCGGATGCAGGCCGTTGTTCGACACGTGCTCAATACTGGACAAGCATAAAAACAAAACGGTTAGGGAAACAATCGAAGCGGGTGAGATAAAGAAAGTTGGTGTGGGTTCTGTTAGCGTTGCGTCCATTGACCTATTTGATAAGGAGTTACAGTTCATGCGAGCGGCGGCAAGGCCTGGGGTTGGCTGATAGTGACGGGACCTTAGCGTGTACATATATGTCATTGATTAAATAGTTGCAGTCACCGCTCGTGTTTGTCTTGTCTCTTTTTCGTCTAAAAGCGCTACCATGCCCTTGATTTCACCTTCCCACAGAACACAAAAAAAGCCAATCGCGGCGAACAACACACGGATGCGAGCCAATGACAGAGTTGATAACACGATTAAGTTTTGAAAATGATAACGTACAACGAGCGAGTTAGAAGTCAGGCTCCTTGTGCTTATCAAACTTCTTTGTTGTTTTTGTTTTTGCCTAGTCGTATTCTGGGTTTCGTCGTTTGCTGGGATGCTTCTACTGTCCACCGTGATGCGTTGTTTCGTGTCCTGAAGAAAAGTGAATTCCCCAGGCCTTTTCTCAGAATGTGACCTAGCATTGAACGTTTTGCCAGAACGTAGAGGTGGAGGGCGCAAGTAATGCCGTTAATCTATCGTTTTCGGATCAGTTCCAATAAAAACAAATGATTATCTTAGTGTGTATATCTTTTCTTCGCTTTGTCGGCGAGTTAATTTCTGCCTCACGTCTCACTGTCGAAACAAATTTTATGCGCCCCGTATTCAGAAAAAACAAAACAAAACATAAACGGCAGAATACTCCATTTCTTTTTTCTCTTTCGGAAACTTGATATTTCCGATGTAGATCCTGTATACGGCATTCGCATGGATATTTTAATAGCTGACGGACACGGCACTTGTGAGCAGTTGAACGAACGTCATTGCCAGCGACCCGAAGTTGCCTTTCTAGAAGCAATCGTTCCTTGCGAGGTTTTTGCACGCACGTAGTTCACATTATTCTTGGAATGTAACGTACAAGGAAGTATAACAGCTATCAGGACAGGCTTCGGGGGTTTAAAGAGGGTGGTTCCCGTTTCGACCCATTCCCAAAACAACCTTCCCGTTTGTACCTTCCCGTTTCGACCCGTCTCAAAACGACCTTCCCGTTTCATCCTTTCCCATTTCAACCTTTTCCCGAAACAACCTTCCCGCTTCGGCCATCGTTCGGTTAGTTTGTATTGTTCGTTAACAGTTGATTAGGTTCAAGGGTCCAGTGTCTGTTCTCCTTGCTCACATCACTTGTCCCTCTCCCGAAACAACCTCGGAGACATGGCACCGTAAGATAAACGCTGTGTCAGGAAGGGCTCACGTGAACATTTACAACTTCATTGACCTGCAAACGGGATGATCCTTGAGAAGGATATCGCTGTAGCAGCTTGCAAATGGTGGTGCCGTGCGGGCCAGGTGACCGCCGCGAACTATCACAATTGGAGTGCCGCCTTTCTGATGGCTCGATTTTCCTTCTCGACTTCCTCAACCAAGGCGACAGCATTTTGTGGTTTATGATTTTCGGCTGTGTACGCGACGGTTCTGTGTTTGAACTTGTAAAAAAATGAAGTCGCAATCATATGCCCGTCAGCCTGTTTGATTCATCACTTTTAAAAAGTATCCCGTTCATTATAAGGAAGTCTTAGAATAACCTACGTAAGCGCTTTGGGTAACCTAAAAGTAGCGTCGCGATATAAAAACTTAGGCAACGCTAATTTTTCCTTACTCAAAGTGCCCTTGCCTGCGTTACTTTAAGAC